CTGGGTGCTGGAGCAGCCGTGTGGAGACCCCTGCCAGCGCTGAGATGCTTACACATTCACTGACTCGGTTTTCCTCCTGCAGTTGTCATCATTGCATGTGTTTTGTGAGATGGAAGAGGACTTTGTGGATTGGTGTCTGACATATGGGCAAATGTTGGACTTTTGGGGTTGGACAGCACTGGGTTGGGATGTTTTATTTATTTATTTTTATTTGGGGGGGGGGTGTTTTCTTAATGTGCGCTTACCCTTTATATAAAACTCTCTCTTATACATATGAGTTTCTGTGGATTTGTTTCTCGAATGGACCCAGACTAACACAGTATTCTTCCAGTATTTCTAGGTAGACCCCAAGCACCACGTGTCCATGAAATTACTAACTGAAAGTATTTCACTCACCCTTACACAGATGGAAGACCTTTAACTCTGAAGGATGTGTGGGAAGAAGTCCATGAGTGCTACAAGACACGGCTTCTGCAAGGGCCCTGGGACACCATTAGCCAACAGGTTAGAAACAATCTTCATGTTAGTGAACACCGCTTTTCCCTCCGCTCCTGTTTTATTCTAGCTCTCTCTGAAAACACCTTCTCAGACCTAGGTGTGGGGTCGCCCCTTGTTTTAAGCGCTCATAATCCAAACTGGCTTGACCACGCCGGTGTTTGTGGGTAGAGCCCCTCCAGAGGGTAATCTTAATGGAGACTGATCACCCAGCTTCTGTTGGCACCCTCTCATTTTTCCTTTATGGCATTTACCACCACTTTTTATTCTCCCTCTCTCTGTTGTATTAATGCTTGTCTTTTCCACAAGACTAGTCATGCTTGTGAGGGCATATACCGCATTTTTACTCCGGGTTCAGCATTGAGGTGCGTATCCTGTAAAGAACTACAGTCCTGGAAGCCCTGTAGGCGATCACCGAGTCAGAATCGACTTGACGGCAGTGGGTCTTTGGGCTTTTTTTTTTATTACCAGCACAGTACTTAGTAATATGAGAGTTGCTCAAGAAAACTTTAAATGAGTATAGAAACTAAGTTGGCATATATCCTAAGAAATATTATTTCACTTCTGTCAGCTGTAATGCTTCATAGTTTGACTAATAGGTGCATTTGCAAAAAACAGAAAATTAACTTTTGATTAGTAATAGATTTGCTATAGTGATTTGCAAAAGTAGAGAAAATAGATCTGTCAATCATAAAAGTCATTACTAGTGCCTTGCTAAATTTAGCAGTTAATTATTTTAGAAATTTAAAAATACTCATCACCTTGCAACCAATCATAGTCTCTGAAAAAATCATTTTTACTTATATCAAAATCTTTGTTATTTTCCCTAGCCTCAGTTAAGCTTAATCAGTTTCCTTTGAAAACGACTGTATCAGCCATTAGAATTTTTATGTCCTCTTTTGTGTTTGATCACAATAATAACTATTTTGTTTTTTTATCTCCCAATCCAAACAAGAATCCTTGGGCATGTCAGAAACAACATTTTGATAATTACCACAAGTAACTGTTTTCTAGATTTAACTGCGGAGAAAACTAGATTGAAAGTCATGTATATTTCATTAGTGACCTTGAATTTGATTACAACTCTTGATGGACCCATATTCATCAGAGTAAAACTGTGCTCCTTCATAGGGCTTTCGATGGCTGATTTTTCAGAAATAGATTGCCAGGTCTTTCTTGTGAGGCTTCTCTGGATGGACTTAAACCTCTAACCTTTCTATTAGCAGGTGAGGGCACCCTTTCCCTCCCAGTACCACCTCCTACAGCCAGCCGTTATACTTTATGTGGAATACAGTTAAGCCTTGTAATTCTAATATTCTGCTCCTTCCCTCCCTGTCCTTACCATTGGTCATATCTTCTTAACCATTGCAGTTCTTTTATTTCACCCACTGTCATTCATTCAATTCTGACTTGTGTTGTTGTTGTTGTCGTTAGGTGCCATCAAGTCAATTCCAACCCATAGCAACCCTGTGCACGATGAAACAAAACACAGCCCGGTCGACGCCTCTTCACAAGTGTTCCTCCACTTCCGCCCCTCGTTGCAGCCGCAGTGTCAATCCATCTCATTGAGGTCTTTCCTCTCGTAGGTGCGCCTCTGCTTTACCAAGCATGACGGCCTTCCCTAGGGACTGGTCTCTCCAGACAACGTGTCTGAAGTATGAAAGATGAAATCTCACCATCCTGTAAGGGGCACTCTGGCCTTACTTTTTCCAAGACAGATCTGTTTGTCCTTTTAGCAATTCATGGTATTTTCAGTATTCCTTTCCAGTATCTGATTCAAATGCATGGATTCTTCTTCTCATTCAATATCCAACTTTCATATGTATGTCAATGTGAGTGCTAAGAATTCACGTTTTCATTGCCCTGTCAATGACCACAACTGTCCCCAAATGCCTCCTAGCAAGCTAGAATCCACAGGACCCAGGAAAATGGAAAAAGGATGGAAGAGAGTATCCAAAGATGTATGTGTACTTAACTGTAGCACCCTTTTTCTCAGCCACTTCTCAATTAATTTTTTCATTATGCTCCAGAGCCTAATTCTCATCCTATTGCTTTTTCTGTCACTAGCAGACCTATTATTAATCCCCTCATTGCAAGTCTATTGCACAATTCCTAGTGGTCTATGCCATTTTAAGTTTTAATTCCACATGTCTATGTTCTGATTTATGACTTAAGAAAACGATTTGGAACTTAACTTTATTTTCTCTAGTTTCCCAATACAGTTTCCTATTTTGTAAGGATTGCCAATAGACTCGTCTCCATCAGTAGGACTCTTAAACTGCCAAATCAACCAAACAGACAAATCTGTTCCTTCATTATTTTTAATTGAATTGACTAATATACTTAATGTATAGGCATTTAAACGTTTTACAGACAGTCTACTAGTGGGCCACTTTCCCCCTATCTATCACAGTCTAATAATAAAACAAACAAACTCATAGCGTCCCTACAGGGCATGGTAGAACTGCCTCTGTGAGTTTCTGAGACTGTAACCCTTATGGGAGTAGAAAACCTCCTCTCTCTCCCTTGGAGCAGCTGATGGTTTAGAACTGCTGACCTTATGGTTAGCAGTAAGGTGGGTAACAACTACGTCACCTCCTATTTAATCCCTCATCCCAGTCCATATCTAGGCAGGAAAAAAAAAAAGCAAAACTAATTTCTAATCATTACTATATTTAAAATCATCACAAATATTTGCCGTAGAAGTCTTATCTTTTAATCCTATATTGGAATATCAGATTGATATTTATATGCTCTTTATTTGTTTGGGGTCATTGAAAGAATAAGTCTTCACCTCTGTAAAGCTGCATCAGGAGAAAGAACAAGTCATTTTCAGAGAAGCCAACTTAGGAGGCATGATATATAGCACTAGATGGGGACGAGTGGGTAGAATAGTGGTGGCACTGCACAGTCCACCCCATTGACAACATTCGTTACAGAACTATTAGATTTCAGACAGAACATGATAATAAGGGCCAGTCCCCTAGAGGGGCTTAACAACAAAAGCAACCTTTGCATAATATGAAACACATGTCGCTTCATTTTCAGGCCTGATTTTGCTCATATAGTGTGTTGCTCTTCATATTTAGTAATCACACTTCTGTTCTCTCAGAATTTGTCTTGATATAAGGACCTGTTCGTGTCTAACGAGAACCTTCTCTTTTGAATACGAGCCACTCATGAATCTCATGCATTTGATTATGGCGATTACTTACCTGCATTTGTCCAGCCTCACCGGCACCCCATTATTTCAATCATACAGCCTAATAACAGACTTCCTGAAGAAAGTTAATAGCTGCTTAGGATGAGTCTGCCTAAATTGGCACAGAGAATGTTATAGTAATGTCCACGGGACAGCATGGGATCTATGCTTTAGAGAAAGAACGCCAATGATTGTGTTGTGGGCTAAAGTCATAAAATAAAAGCATGCCTTCAGTTTTACTTGAGGATGCATGTGCTGATGGGTGTGAATATGTAGGGGCTGGAGAAGTGCCTTTTTTTTTTTCCTTTTAAGCTTTTTATTATGTATAATGTTAAACATATCCAAAAGTAGAGGAAATAATATAATACATTCATCAACTAATGGCCAGTTTTCTTTTTTCTGCATCTCATCCCATCTGAGAAATTCAAAAGAAAATTTTAGACATTGTCTTCTCATCTTAAAAAAAAAACAAAAACCATTTTATTGAGGACTCTTAGAGCTCTTGCAACAATCATACATTAATTATATCGAGCACACTTGTACATAAGTTGCCATCATTATTTTCTAGACATTTACTTTCTATTGAGCCCTTGGTGTCATTTCCTCTTTTTCTCCCCCTCTCCCTTGTAGCCCCTTGATAAATTATAAATTATTATTATTTTCAAATCTTTCATCGACCACTGTCTCCCTTTCCCCATGGTTTCTGTTCTTCATCCCCTTAGGGGTGGGGATATGTGGTTATGTGTCGGTCACCATGATCTGTTCCCCCTTCGTCCCCTCCTCCCCCTCCTGGTATCACTGCTCTCATTCCTGTTCCTGGATTCCGTGTGTCATGAGCTCTTATCTGTGCACATGCTCCAGTCTAGCCCGCAGTGAAAGGCAGTACTAGGGTCAAGATACAGGGGCGGGTGGTGGGGAGGGGGTGAGGAAGCCTCAAAGAGCCAGAGGAGTATTGTTTGTTTCATCAGTGCTTTACTGCACCCTGACTGACTTATCCCTTCCCTGTCACCCCGCTGTGAGGGGATGTCCATTGTCTTCAGATGGACTTTGGGTCTCTGCTCCATTCTCAACAACATGGTTTGTTTGTTTGTTTGGGGTCTTCTGTTGCCTGCTAGTCCCAGAGACCACACAGGCTGGTGTGCTTCTTCCATGTGGGCTTGCTGCTTCTCTGCTGGATGGTCACTTGTTTACCTTCAAGTCTTTATATCTTCTCATCTTTTAATGTTTTTTATTTTTCAGGAGTGTATTTATTTTCAAATATTCAACATCTAGAATCCTTTTTCTGTTTCCCATTGTTTATAATTCCTAGCAATTATAAATGACTCCATATTATTTTCCATTTATATTGGCCTATTTTGGAAATTAAGCCATTTCTGAGTGATAGCTGCTCATAGTGTCAGATTTCTCTGACAAATACTATTTATAAGCATTTCAAATAATTTTCAGAAGTGTGTGTGGTTTCCCCTTAACCCCATTGTCTGGAACACTTAATGTGTATGTAGAAGAACATCATCCTTAAATATTTAAGCTAATTTAAATATTGTTAATAGATAGAGCCTAAAATGAATGTCTATAGTAGCTTTATTTGTAATACCCCAAACTGGAAATAGCTTGGCTATCCATAGGTGGGGGAGTGAATGCTTCCACAAACCATGGCACATCCTGTCATGGAGCTGATGGTACCAACTGTTGATACACAAAATAATTTGTATGTATCTCCAGGGAGTAGCCTGAGTGCAAAAGCCAACCTCGAAAGGATACACAGTGTCTGATTCTATTTGTATAATATTCTTAAAATGATAAGATT